GCTCAATGCCTTTCGATTGGGGGAAGGGTGAAGGATCCTTACCTATGAGGCCATAAGAACCACACAGGCAGTTACCAATAGTAGGTCGCTCCTTGGAGGGCAAAAGAAGAAATCATCGGCGTTGAACAATCCCTTTTCCCACGTACTGCTCCCCACTCAAAGTCGTTTAGGGGCACTTTAAATGTAATTAGGCTTGCACAAAGGCTTCCGCGAGCCATCTGATTCTAGCGTTTCTTCCTACAGAATGGTCCAGTACCAATTCACCAATCTTAAGCGGGCAGAGGGTTCAGCTACTCCGGGCTGGACTGTAGGGGCGACTACAATTGTAATAGGTCGGCGTGGTAAGACGCTTTACTCGACAAATTGTAATAGCACTACAGCTCCTTCAAAAATTAGCAATTCAAACAACCCTGAGGATCGATCTTCAAGGAAAACCAGCTAAAATAGGAGGAGAAGGCGGGTGACGTCTGCGACCACGACGTAATGTGAGCAAAATGAATGGGTTACGGAACTTTCGGAACAATGACTTTCAGATGACAGCTGGCTACGCAGCCACCGTCACTTCAGACGACCTCTACTGCATATAAATATCCTGTGAGTGACTCGGAAAAATGATCCCGATCGCACTCTGACAGCCGCTACGCAACGAGCTTGTTCCGTTCGTAACACCTGCGCTTTTCCACTACTACTCGGCAAGATTTCATCCCGCAAGTAAATTTTACCCGGCGTCCCTTTTCAAACAGTTTTTACGAATAGAAGAAGAAATGAGAGAAATATTGTTATTATTTTGTTCCTGTTTGTTCCTTGTTTATTTTGACTTCATTTTCATTCCGCATAATATCCTATATAAATTTTAGAGCACTCTATATACAATATTATATATCACTTGTTACTATATCACTTGCAACAGTTTGAAGACAAGCTTAATCAACTACGAAGGATAGGGACAATTTTACCCAAAATAAAAACGAGCTACATGGAAGGTAGACTTTTCGAAAAAAAACATTCCTAGTCCAATTTTTTGGGTTTTCACAACCCACCCGTCCATTTAACAAGAAGAGCAAACAAACAAATACTAACAATATGTAGGTGGTTTAAGCAGGTGTTGTTAAGAGATGATATAGTAGAAAGTGGCGTCGCCTTTCGGACAGGGGGTCTAATCTTGGATCGAATCCCACCCAGGCCAACAAACCACTATATTTTTCTAGACTTGCCTAATCGGGGACGACCTTATCCGGGGAATGTATACAAATACTGGCTGTGTATTTGCTAGTGCTGCTAGTCAGTGTAAAATACCATATCGCACCTAACTACTACGCCGTTTCTGAGTAGAGCTCGCATGTGTGGCGCATCCTAGAACAGGGCCTGACCCACTTCAACTGTTTTATTCTTCCTTCACTCTTTATTTTGCATTGCTATTGGAATGACCGTTATTTTTCTCTTCTGTGTTTGTTAAAAAATTACTATATATGCTGAAACATACTGTAAAAAAAACCAGTAATGCATTCTCAATAATATGTATTAACACAACAAAACTTGGTCTGTCCAGAAAAACATTGCCTGCATACTAGTTCCAGTTTAAGTTGACAGTACGTGGTCTTCAGGTGGCAGAGCGCTGGCAAATAAATAGCACTGGTTCACAGGGAAAGGTTGAAACCTTTCTGGAGTTGTGTGTAGGTCTCTGACAACTACCGTATGTTCGCCCAAAAAGTGATGATGTAAATTTACGAGCTCACAATTGCACATTTGAAAGCAATAATTTAAAGAGTTGTAATTCAAATCGATGGCGTTTATGAAGTCAAAACTATGGCATTCATCAAACTAGTTGGGCTAATACTGCACTACGAGAGGATCAGTACGCAATAAGGAGATTTGGCATGGCTACCACACATGGCAATTTCATCGCGCTACCTCCTATCTCTCAGTCTTTTCGGACAGTGCGTAATA